GCCGGTTCAGTGGTCTGGAGACTAAGCGTTCGCGTGAGAGACTGAAGGCTTTGGGTTCGAATCTCACGAATGGGATTGTGGATACGCATTGCCGAGGAGCAATAGGTTCACTTACAATTATTACTTATAAAACTTACAATGGTAATCATTGTTGTCTGTTACTTATTTGTTACAAATTATAATTGTAGTTTACCATAAATAAAATTTGGTTCTGTGTTATATTGCTCTGGGTTTGTATTATAATTGTTGTTTAGAAGATCATACATTAAATATTGATTGTGCAATGATTTCTGTTACTACTAGACTATTTTCAACTTTCAAGTGAATGAAATTAGTCGACTTAACTTGTACGACTGATAATGTCAATGAGAGGAAAGAGAGAGTATATTTGTCATAATCGGTCTTTATGAATGCGATTCTTGTTTTTTTCTTAGGTATGATATTAAATTTGGCTCTTTTTTGTATTAACAATGAAACTGTTACTCAGTGATCCAATAATCCAATTTTCAACTAATAATAAGTAGTAACTGATTTTCGTATTGATTGTTTGAATCCTTCAATTAATGTTTAGGACGGCGATTAATCAGTTTCGTATTGGCATACGTGCATTCTGTGCGAATCATCTCGATATTACCTTAAATCACAAGCATTTTAAAAAGAAATGTATGGTGATTAGCAGTAGAATCCAGTTTGACGAGTGTTTCGTCCTATTTGGGATTCATCAGCTTGATTGGTGCATTGAAAACACGTAGTCATTTTGACTCTATTGTTTCTCGTATCTCTACAATCCTTTTATACTACTTATATAGAATTATGTATTGCAAACATATTTTACAAAATTATTTCAATCAATCATATTGAATTATGTTTAACAAGATATTACGCATACCGTCGTCGTACGATACAATTGATAATAGATGTTAAAAAAGTATATTATTTAATCTAATCGGTCACTAGAAAAGGTCAATACTAATAACAGTTTACATTAAATAAAACAATCATATTTATTAAAACTAAGCTGAAAATGGCGTAATGAATACGTTATTGCTGACTGTTTATAAAACGGTCAAATTGTGATGTCAACCGATTATAAGGGACCTTTCAAAATCATAAAACTAGCTTTGCATAAAGCAAATAACATTAGATAGTTGATTCTGATTCATTATACTGTGATCGAAATTGTAGATGTTTACATTTCACCCCATTAGATGTGTGATTGATTTTGAAGTCATTTGGGTTCACTTTTCAATCAATGGTTTAGGTCAACATATATGTGTATAGAGTAGAGTAACTTCTCTTTCAGTTTTCTTTTTGTAGATATAGTTTTTCAGTTTTTTGTAGAATAAGTCTGTTTTTCGAGTCTTGGAGTGAATATCAACTCTGAGATGCGGCTACATCCAGTTGACTCGTCCCAAATGGGACGAAACGCGTATCCTAGATTCCATTGCTTAAAAGTTTGTTTTTGTTTACAAAACAGAAAAAAATGACGTTATAATGAGGTATTACTGAAAATTGTAATATTCATTCATTGAAATGTCGATATTTGTCCTCTTGCTTATATACCACTAACAATGTAATAAATCCGTCAATTTCTTTTTGTTATGTCTTGCTGATTGGACGCTATATTCGTTCCTAAGCTATTCTGATAACCCGCACGCTAGAACTATACAGCGACCTGAAACACCAGAAAGAAGACGCGAAGTATGAGAGAAACATTTTACTCCAAGGTCCGTTTTTGTACAGAAAACATTAGTATTTATGGATGTTAACGTTTGTTAAATCAGCATCATATTTCGGCCAATCCGTTAACGACATTTAATGCTACTGACCAATAGTAGCACGCCACGTTGGAATTCTAGAATGCTCCATCATGCTCTGATTGGCTAGGACTCTTCGGTTCCTTTTGGGCCTCTGGAGGCTCTGTTGAAGTTCTCCAAAAGTCGACTCAACACTTTTACTCACTTCTTTTTCAAATCTCTCCATGATAATAAATAATATAGGACTGGATAACTATAGTAATAGTCTTAAGTATTTCTTACAATTTTCATTCATTACTCTTCATATAAAACTGACTATATAAGTGAAGTATCAAATGTTACTATTACTGTATTATAATTGATAATTATCGATGTAATTTTAAGACTGAAACATTTCTTGGTGCTATCAAAGTTGAATAACTAACATAACTTTACATTTGAATGACTCGGTACTTTTTTTAATAAGGAATGAATAGTTATAAACGATTGAAGTAATACATAATAATATGATCATACATACGGGTGGCTTTGTTGACCGAATCTGTATTATTTTCTTAGTACTATAATCTTATATTTCACTTCTTTATGTAGCACTAGTAGACCTGTTTACACAAGATGTATATCCTATGCAACTTAAGTTTGTGTGTGTGTGTGTATACGTACATCAGCTGATCCATGATTGGTGGTGGTAGTCTAGTGTACTTCATAAATAGTTGTATATTGTAATATAATATATACCTATACATAATATCAAGCAATTCTTAGATCCACGTGATATTGATATACATTTAAGTAGGAAAGCCAATCTATAATTTATGGTAACTATATTACCTCGAATCAATCCACTGTTTCAAATAGGAAAGTGGCGGTGGGGGCTATAAAGTCTTCTTTTTTTTTCAAGTTTTTATCTATAATTCAACATTGTCATTTCTTTATTCTTTTCTCGTATTTTTGCATTTCGCTAAAATTTTTTCATCAATATAAATTGTTTAATTATAATCACTGGTTGAATGAATTGTATAATGGATTATTAAGCTCTGTAAACACCTATTTAATATCATATATATAAACACTTAATTATCCAATTTTCTAGTTGCTATTTCATTTTGTTTTTTCTTTCAACTATGCAAACTGTTACCATAAAACTTGTAGGTTAACCATTAACTGACTCACCACATATTTTGTTTGTCACATTGAAATATTTGCATAATTTATTATTCTTTTTTGATGAAGAAAAAAGGCTCAATATAGGCAAATTTACTAGAAAATTTATTCGGAAACACTATCATGATAGTTTTCAGTAGACATATAATATAATATATATCATCATACAATGGTCATAGGAACAAAAATCGATCGAAATTGTATATGAATGACAGTTTAATAGTGATTAACTATTTAGCAGTGGAATCTGATTTGACGAGCATTTCGTCCTATTTGATACAAGTCAGGTAGATGTACCTATATCTCAGAGTTGATGATCACTCCGCTGGACTTGAACCCAGTACTATTCGCTTCAAATGTCATTACGTTGTCCACTTAGCAACTGTGTTAAATGATATATGAATAGATGGGGATTTATCCATAGTATTCTCTCTATTTGTGTATTATATTCACATATATATGATATTAAATATAGGGAATGTTCTTTTAAATGTCAATGTCATGCTTGTCTAGTCCTTATTAGTGCAGATCGAATGCTATCGATCATGTTGCAATGTGGCCAACAGTTAGGTGACCGACACTGCGGGCACTATGTATTGAGATTTCCACTGTAAGCTGAGACTTTGACTGTAAATACAAAGTCAGATAATCTTAATGGACTTGGCAGCATTCACAATTGTTTAGTCACTGAGTTGTGGTGACTAGTGTTATATGTTATATCAAGTTCTTCTTAGTGCTGATCAAATTTTATCGATCAAGCTGCAATGCATTCACTAATCTAAATGACTTGATATCTCATGCTTTGTGTTCAGATGTAAAATGATGGATTAAAGGATGCTAAGGGAAACTTTGAACAAGTGCCAAATACCACATTTTGTTTCCATTTTCAACTCTTTTATCGTTCAACAATAGATATCTCCTCATATGTTAACTTATCTTTACATTCAGTTATCAAATTTGACCTTCGTAATTAATTTTCTTTTCATACATTCTATCAACTTGTTTCGTAGAATAATTCTTGATTTTGTCTAATGAATGGTTACAAGTTTACTTTATAATGCAGTTGTGAAATTTTACCTTCTTCCTAAATTTAGTAACCTGTAATATATATTGGTTAAGCTTTTCCCATCAAGTTTAAAGTTTAATCATTTAGTTAACAGATATGCACAACATCTTGTAACACTGTAAGTGTTGGTAATCGGTCAAAAAAATCAATTATTAAAAAGTGAATTGCATCTAATTTGTTTCGAAGTATCTGGAATCCATCAGTAAAGCATATATCTGTAAAGTCGAGAAAAACCTTCTATTATTCTCATGGATCTGAATAAATATTGATTTATTTAATGATGACATCTTTATTTCTTTGACTATAGTATACCGATCATCATAGATTCCAACTTCTGTATTGGGACTCGGGGGGGGGGATCGATTTCCCCATGCTGCTGGGTACATATATTTTTCCAATACATTCTGCCAATATGTTGTTGTTGTCGTTATCAGCTATTAGTATTTCAGCATACAGAATCGAACTCGTGTAGATTTTTCGCTCTTCATTTTCTGTAACCATAAGTTTTGTATCTGTTCTGAAACAGACAATTTTGTCATTTTTTTTACTTATGTGCTTTCAACCGTTCACTTGCTGAGAATTACCGTGATCGACTCTGTTCCCTAGTGTATGAATAGGTTAGAAGAAAGCTAAGAGCGGACAAATCAATAACATTATATCATTCCATGTAGTTATCATTGACTATTAGTCTTAGTCATGTTTGTAGATGCAGATTATACTTAGTTGGAGTTCACAAAATCACCATGATCAGAATCGATCACAATGACTCTAATACATTTATTGTTTATCTAAATTTTACGTTTCAGTATTTCAACTCATATTTTCAATGTTTATTCTTCCTCATTCATTGTTTTCTACTGGATTATCATTATTCATCTTAATCATTTCATCTCTTGAATCGACTCATATATCTACCTTATAACCTTTATTGATTTCTGTCAGTAATTATTAACTTTTTTATAATGTTGTTCAATGGTTCATTTTGTTTGTTTTATTCTTATTATTTTCAATAGTATCTTACAGCGGATCTTGGCGGTCGTTCAACTTGTTCTCAATATACTAAAGAAATATGTCGTAAAATTGAAGAGAAAGCTTCAAATCGATAAGAATAATGTAAAATTGTTTAGTTTCTTCTTTTTTGTTTTCTTTGTCATTCTGTTTATCTATCATATTTAATTTAATGAAAACATAGAAACAAAAAAAACGAGCGGAGGGGGGAGGCAAAAGAAGAAATAAAACAATAATTAATTATTGAAATTTTGTATAGTTTTAATTCATGTTATCTATTTGATAATGATGATGATATACATTAGTTTTATCCTTCTGTCTTGTACGCAGTGAAAATAAAAAAAGTACACTATTTCTATTAGTGTAGATTCATATATGTGGATCAGTTCATACATACATACATACACACACACACATACTGTGTATCTTCTTTCACCTTTTCTTTTTCGCCGACGTTTTGCTTAGAACAGTTAATTACCTATATGTGGATTTGCATGAAATGTTTAATTTTTATAGAATTGCAACATTTAAATATGAATCACATGCATATTATCTTTATTTGTTGAAAGAGGTTGGGATAAAGGGGAAAAGAAACCTTTCAGTGTTATCACAATTATGAATGTATGTTTAGATTGTAATAGCATTTACAGCAAAGCCTACTGATGAATAATCCCTGGTTGTTGTAGAGTATCTCAAACATATTATGTTAATTTCAATAGTTGAGATCATGAATCAGTTCAAGCTAGATCACCATGGAAAACCTGGAATTGACTCATGATTTCAACTATTGAAGCATCCATGAAAATACATTCTAATACTAATCAACATATGCATGCTAGTGACCGGAGTTCTGATGCGAAACAGTGACCAGTGGATTTAAACCTGATCTGTTGTGACATAGTAATTCACTGAAGATAATAGTCGATATGTCGCTCAATTCTGTGGATTAGTTGAAGTTAAACATTAACACCATTAGATGCCGTCTCAGTGGTCTAAACGTCCGCGCATGAGACCGATAGGTCGCGGGTTGAAATCTCACGGGACGGGATCGTGGTTGCGCACTGATGAGGAGTCTCACAATCGGACGAAACGGCCGTCCACTGCCTCCAGGTTTTCCATGGTTGTCTAGCTTCAATGGACTATTGAACTCAACTATTGAAATATATATATTTATTGTTGAGTATGGGATTCAAGTGTTAATTTACGTCATGGTTACAGATTTAATAATTCTCAATAGTTTATTCAATAAATATTACGAACTTATGAGTTTTCATAACTTGTTGTTTATGCTTGATTAGGTATAAGCCAAATAATAAGTGAGGGATCTTGATGGACTCATGATATTGGTCGAAATATGGCTTAAATTGCCGAGAAAATGAACACATCCAATAGGCTAAAGATCCTTGATTTTCTGAAGAAGATTGACATCGGCAAAGATAGTGGCTAGCAATGGGATCCAGGACTCGCGTTTCCTATTCGGGACTCGTCTCAGAGATTATGTTCACTCTGGGACTCGAACCCAGTACCGTTCGCTTCAAACACCACTGCGTTATCCACTTAGCTCCTGAGTCCTGTTAGCCACTTGCTTGTGCAATGGGGTGAAGTTATATTGAATAGTCGATTGCAGTCCTAAATAACAATAGGAAGATACAAGTAAACATAGAATACAGGTTTATAAATGAGTTTATGCATATGATTTTTATTCGGTTAGTTAATAAGTGATTCCTACTCCTGATTCAATCGTGTAGCCGTTTTGACTCGTGTATATTTCAGTAGCAGACTCGAACAACCTAAGAAAGTTACGTAAACTAGTTTATAAAATAAAGCCAGTTCAAATATTGATGCAGAATAATATGAATTCATTATATTTCATGGTTTCTCGTCAGCTACTTACAACCAAATATGTATTAGAATTTTACATTGAGATAAGATATGGTGTGAAATCAATTGACAAGTGAATGTAAAGGATTGGAATGACAAAGGTTATCAATATATACATATATATATATATGCAAGAACAGGTCAAAGGTTATTAGGTGTTAGAATCAAGGAAAGATTACGGATGGGTGGTGTATAAGTTAAGTGGAGTTCAGAGACTGATAAGATAAATTGTGGACGAAAGGGTGGTTTAAGAATTCGGTAATGGGAGAGGAATAAAACTAATAACCGAAAAAACAGTCAGTCAGAACAACGTAGAACTTCGTACGTACGTAAATCAGTTTGAGTTGCCATACCAAATTAGCGCAGAGATGCAGTTGTCGACTCAAATCCTATCGTCGTAGAGTTAGTAAGAGTATAAGCAGTAATCGGAAACATTAGAGCTTGAAGATGTTATTTAAGTAGTATAATCCAGTAAAACAAATTTGGATAGTGACAAAGAAAGGAGTATGAAGAATTCAGAAGATTAGAATTTGTGAGGACACAAATAGTGGATGCACCTGCGACATTGCAAACGATTTTGAGCCATGTCATTCAAGGTCTCTAACTATCGGTTGCTATCATCTCGCGGATCCCAACCAGGTAGTCTACATCTACCAACATGGTGCAGTCCACTTGTCAGTGACTTTATGGATTTGTGCCATGTTTCGGTGTAGCGGTCCCTAGCTTTCTTCCAACCTACTCCTAACACCATGAAACATCGCTTGTCGGGGCGGTCGGTGGTTAGGCATACGTAATCCGTGTTCCAGCCATGTCAACTGGTGAAGTTTCACTACTTCATCAATTCATTTGCCATCCTTACTTAGTACCCGTTTCCTAACAACTGCATTACTTACTCGATAGTCCCGGGATATACGACCAATGTTTCGAAGACACCTATGATCAAATACTAGTAACTTACGAATATCCTCTACTCTTACCAGCCATGTTTCACTGCCATGAAGTAGGACGGAACGAACTGCTATGCAGTAAAGTCGTTCTTTGGTTGATAGACGGATATCTCACCTGCGCTATAAATGACGCAAGTTGGCAAAAGCTAGTTGAGCCTTCTGTATTCGTGCTGGGATTTTGTCACACACCAGTCCACAAGGGCTGATGAGACTTCCCAGATAAGTGAAGCGGTCGACAAGCTGAACTACTTCACACTCTATCATTAGTTCTGATGTTGATGCAACCCAATCCTGAAGCAACATTTTGCATTTCGAGGAGGAGAGGAACATGCCTTCATTTTGGTGGGAAGACTGCATTTTGTCAGCGTCCTCACCAAAAAGGACGTCGACGACAAAGTTAAACAAGAATGAAGAGAGCGGACAGCTTCGACAAATACCACTTGAGGTAATCAATTCTGATGACAGTTTGCCATAAGCTCTCACTCAACCAGATGTACTCGAGAGCCTGTATAAGGTTAATGTACTTCTTTGGTACTCCTTTCAGTGACGAACACTACCACAGAACCTCACGATCAACAGAGTCGAATGGCGCCTTAAGATCGAGAAATACTACGATTGTAGGGCGTCTGAATCTGTGTCTCTGTCCTACGACCACGTTGAAGTCCAGCCTGGTCTTCTCTAGTCTGATCTTCACGAGCTCAAGTTAGGCGTCGAAGTATTATTGAAGTTAATAGTTCAAACACTATATTAGTCAAACTGATTCCTCTGTGATTGTCACAAGAGGACTTTTGTCCTTTCTTATAGACTGGCACAATCAGTGATTGAGACCAGTCAGATGGGATTACGTCCAGTTCCTAAATTCTACCTAAGAACTCTGTTAATCTCACTGCTAATACTGAACCACCATCCCTAAAAATCTCAGGAGTAAACCTGTCAGGGCCTGCTGCTCTCCCTCGCTTCAGATTTCTTATGACTTTTTCAACTTCGTAAAGAGACGGAGGACCTACATTAACTTGCCATTCAGGTTGACTGGAGATCGTGGGAAACCGAAGCGTGGATGGAGGCCAATTGAACTGAACCCTGAAGTGTTCTGCCCATCGATCCAGTCTCCTGATCTGAGAATGTGTAATATTTCCATCTTTTTCTGAGATAGTTTCGCTAACGGTCGGGTTCCTAATTCCAGTTTCCTTAACAAGTCTGAACAATTTTCTGCTATTACCTATTGCCGCTGCCTTTTCCATCTCTCTTGCTTTCACTACCCACCACTGTTCGCGATCATTGCGTAGGCTTCTTTTCAGCTTGTGCTTAAGCTGACTCCGCTCCTCGTTATGTTCAGAGCCAGATCGAATGAGTTTTCTAGCATCTGTCAGTGTGGTAGAGGCTGCTGAGATCCAGTGTTTCTCCCTAACCTTGTGGTTTACCGTACTAGCAGATATCACTGCTGTTTCCACAGCTTTTCGGATATCATTCCATGCTGCCTCGGGGTGGGCATCATATGCATGGCTGCCTGACTGTTTTTCTAGTTGTTCCTGAAATATACTCTTAGCTTGACTATCATTAAAGTAGGGTCCCTAATACATATATGGTTGTAAGCAGCCGACGAGAAACCATGAAATATAATAAATTCATATTATTCTGCATCAATATTTGTTCTGGCTTTATTTGAATTCATAAAGGGAACTAATTGTATGAAATTTTCGGAAAGCCGTCTTCCTGCTCATAGATTTCGCGACCAACTAACATAGAGCTAATTCATGTCGGGTAGAGACAGGTATCTACCTCAGTAAAATGGAAGTTGGTCGCGCGATTTCGTGGATTGGTTGATGTTAGACACTATCACCATTGGATGCCGGCTCAGCGGTCCAGTAGGTTAAACGTTCGCGCGCGAGACCGAAGGTCCTGGGGTCGAGTCTCGCGAGCGGGATCGTGGATGCTGAGGAGTCCCACAAGAAAACGAAACGGCCATCCAGTGCTTTCAGGTTTCCAAAGGTGGTCTAACATCAATCGGTTCATGATCTCAATAAAAAAACAACTTAGTAATCTCCACAACCCCTATACTAGTAACATCAACTAGTTAACTATCAGAATTCGGGAAACCTTTGAAACATTTACATCATCCTTCATTTAGAAGTATTTGATAATGGACATATGAAATTAAGCTCAGGATCTTCTAAATTAAATTTCTATCATACAACTTTTCAGACTAATTACTACAATATCTTGATTGGGATACCATCAACTCTTTAATATCATATGATTACAAAGTGGATTATCTTA